TTTTTTTTTGTTTTCGTCATGTTATTTTAAATTTTACCTGTCAATAATAGTTTTTATTGTTTGTCCATCTTGTTTACGTTTAGCTTCAGTTACTGTCCATTCTTCACAATAAGAACTATCATCTTCACTTGATTGTAATTTTGTTGGTGACATATTATCATATCTTTGTACTATTGTTGTTTGTGGATTAATTGCTGCAATTAAAAAATTTCCATCATGTGGTTTTGTAATTGTTGATACAATTTCATAAGATTCTTCAATAAGTTCTTCAGGTGATTTTGATCGTTGTTGAATATTGATTGATGATTTAATATCATTATTATCTGATGTTCGTATCCATTCAGTTGTTCCACTTTTAATAATTTTTTTATCAAAATTATCAAGTTTATTTTTATGATGTATTTCTTCAATTTGTTGATTATTTTTTTTTGTTTCTGTTATTATTGTTGTTTCATAAATTTCTTCTGTTGTTTGTCTTTCTAATGGTAAACGAAATGTAATTATTTCTTGTCGTTGTTCTTCAATTATATCTTCATCTTCACGATTAATATAACCAACATGACGTTTTGTATCAAATAAATCTGTTTGAAATCCACAATCATATGTTCTTGGTCGTCCATATAAAGGATAAGATATTAATTCTTCATATTTATTATCATTTAAACGTATATCATAATCACCAACATTTTTTGAATACATTATTTTAGGTTCTGTATTAACAGCTAAATCACGTAATTGTTGACGTTCAGTTATTGTTGAACGATCAGTTGATCGTTTAAAATCTGTATTTGATAAATTATGACGTAAATAACCAAGTTGATGAAATATATCAAGTTCAGTTGATGTTGTTTGATGTTTTATTGTAGGTTGTTCTTGTGCAGCCTAAGAAAAGAACAAAACAAAAAAATCATTATCTTGATTCTCAAATCTCAAATATATATTTCTTACTTGTACACCTGTATGTCGTTGTTCGGCTGATGCAAAAGTATTTGATGATGCATCATGTTGTATAATAGGTATTGATTGTGTTTGTGCATCGATATGTATGGGTTGTGTTAATGGTGTTGTTATGGAAAAGTTATCTCGGATAGAGATCAATGTACGTGTATCAGTTGATACATGACGTGAAAGTAATTCAGGAGGTATATCATGTCCACTTGCACGATCATAATATGAAATTAATGATGTTGTATCAGTTGATATATCTCGATTGTTTGTTGTTTCATTTGAACCACATGCTGTATCTTTTTGTATTATTAAATTAAGAGTATCAGTAGCAACTTGTCGTGTTGATGGTTTTGGTGGAGGTTTTGGTTGTTCACTAAAAGAATAAATTGAAAATGATATGGCAAAAAAATAAATAAATAAATTTTCTTTTTGATTTTTTAATTCAAACTTGATTATATGATTTAATGCGATACGATCAAACCACTTTCATAAACTCGATCTAACGGAAAATAAACACTATTAATTGATACATCTAGATCGAAATTTGAATAATAATCAACTCATCGATTATAAAATTTTCATCGTAACGATTAAAACATTTTCAATGGAATAATTATCTTTGAGTAAATCAAAAGAATTCGCGAACTTACATAGTATTAACAAAAGCACCAAATTCTCTTGTTTGTATATGTTGTGTATTCGTAGCACGATCATATTTTTCTATTGGTTCAGGTGTAAACATAATTGCTACATCACGTTGATATATTTCAGGTTTATAATCAAAATTAACATGAGTACCAACATCTCGAAAATGTTTATCTGGTGTAACATTAATTGAAACACCAATTGCAACATCACGTTTAGTAGGTACTTCAGGTAAAGTTTCCATCCATACATCACGTTTTGAAATAAAATCATCTGTATTACATTGAAGATTAACATCACGATGTGCAACAGGACCTGGTAATGTTGGTTGAAGATGACATGTTAATGCAACATCTCGAACTAAATAAAGATATATTATAGATATGTGTGTGTAAATGTATTATATATATAGAAATAAAACCTGATCGAAATGTATCTGTAACAAGTGCTCGATCTTGCATAGTTGGTTGACATTGTGTATTAACATGTCGTTGTTGTTTTGGTTCAGTTAAACGTTCAATATCTTGTTCTTGTTCGAATATTTTATCTTCAAGAATATGTATACGTTCATTATAAAAATTTTTAATTTCTTCTAATTTTCTTCGAACAATTTCAATTTGTTTTTCTTCATCTTCATCATATTCTGTTCGATGATTAATAGCAACATCACGTTGTTGTCGTTGTTTAGGTGGTAATGGTGGTGGTGGTAGTTGATCATCTTCAACAATATGTTGCATAGCAACTTCACGTGTTAATGGTTTTTGTTGTGTATGAATTTGTTCATGATTTGTTCGTATTGTAACTAATGTTGTCTTTTTTTCAGGAATTTTATGAACTAAATATTGATGTTTTTTTTTTTTTTTTTGAATAAGAAAATTTTTCTTACTTGTTTGATGTTTATATCGATCAATTTCTTTTAATAAAAGTTCTTTTTCATTTAATAATGTTTTACGTTCTAATTCAAGTCGTTCAATTTCACGATTACGACGTTCAATTTCTGTTTTATCTGTTATTGTTATAACAGTTGTTTTTATTGGTTCTTTAATAGGTGGAATTTGTTTAGGTGGTACAATTATTTCTGTTATATACAATGGTTTAAGTGATTCTTTTGGATGATCATCTGGTTCAGGACTTGATACACGTAATGTTGTTTCAGTTGAAAGTGAACTTGAACTACTTGATCGTGAAAATGGTGGTGGTGGAATTTTATAAAGCATTGTTATTGGACCACTACTTGTCATATCAATTTTACGTAATAAATTCATTGTATTATCTTTTATAATATTAAGACGAGGTGCTGAATGTGTTCTTGTTGTTATTGTTTTTTCCATTTGCATACGATGTTCAGAAAGACGACGTTCTTCAGCTGTACGTGATGTTGATAATCGAGATGGTAATGGTGGACGAAGATGACGACGAGAATCTACAGAACGTGATCGTTGTTGTTGAATATGTCCAGAATTAATTGATTGTGTTTGATGACCAACATGACGATGACATTCACTTTCAAGATCTTTAATATCTTTTTCAACAATACGATCAAGTTCAAGTATTGTTTCACGTATAATATCATTATCTAATGATGATGAATTTCTTGTTGTTGTTGTTGTTATTGATGATGATGAAATAGGTCTTGTTTGAATAGGCTTAAAATATAATATAGATTAAATAAATAAAAAAAAATATTTAATATATTAATTATTAATAAAAAAAAAACTTACAAGACTATCATCAAGTATATTAATATTTAATCGTTTTTTATATGGAATGAATAAATTAATATCATCCGAAAATGAACTACTTTTTATTGATGATGGAGATAGAGAAGTACTATAATTTGTATAAGAAGAATCTTCATAGAAGAACATCTTCTATTAAAAATAGATTTTCTATTGTCTTTTTTCTTCTTATGTTTAATAAATAATAAATAAAGAAGAAATGACTTATAGAAACATTTGCTTTTAGTTTCTTCTCGAGAGATAGAGAGAGAAAAAAAAAACTCAAGGGTCACAGATGGACACAAGGTAAAGACAAAAAAAAAAA